ATATACCACCATTCACCATAAAAATCTCTTTCCATGGGATTGAGTGACTTCTGTGCCGCTAATACTTATTCAACGCTGTGGGAAGGTACAGTAGTATGGTGGGTAAAGTTATTGTGAAGCTAGAAGTTAGAGACTATGAGTATAAAGGGGGTGGGGTAGGCTCTGGTGTACTAAAGAAATTAAACATGTTAGTTTTCAATTCCAAGAGAGAGAAAAAAATGCAAATCCCACCACACTGATGAAGAACCAAGATAAACAAACAGATACATAGATATTTATTCAATTAAATCGTCATACATGTTCACATTAATTCAGTAGGTACTGTATATAGACACTGCAGGTGTATCCGGGTGAACAATTCTTAATACAATACAACCAGGTAAAATATAAAATCAGTGAATCAATTATAAACTTTAATAATATATTAATACTACATTGCAAGTGAAAATAATATGAAATTATTAATAATTAAGGACAATTAAGACATCGAAAATAAGCAAAATAAAGCCTTCTAATTTGGCGGTACTTGACTTAGACAGTAATATACAGTAGAGAGGTATATCAGTGTGGTAGGTACAGTTCACCCACGCTGAGTCAGGACGTGTTAGAGGTTCACCCGCCAGTCTCACGCGTGAAGCTCCGTGCGATCAGGTGACTCCGGAACATTTCAAATCACACTGGGAACACTCCGAGTCACTGGTACAACACCGGTACAAAGTTGATTACTGGAACACACAGGAACACAACAGGTTCAAACTGTGACATTGCCAGATCACTAGAACAAGCTGGTTCACATTCTGGAAGGCTGCAATACACCAGTTTGTGGATAAAAGGTCAGCCGCCAACAAGCAGTGTACTGGGTGTATTAACACTGCTAACAGTGTATACATTACGTAAATAACAAAAGGTCTTCTCGACGCATTTTTAATTCCAATTAATCCTTCACTTGTGTGTATATAGAAAGAATTTATTAACTTCATGTAAAAACTAATTAAAAAATATGTTCAGAGAGACGCTCACACTTAAATATTTAACCCGAGAGAAACTCCTCACATGGATGCACACAAGTAGTTCAATTCCAAGAGAAATTTTTCACCGAAAACATCACCATGGGTACACCTTGCCCGGCCCCCAGACACCCTCACTACGGCACCGAGTGTGGGCTGGACACAAATATCTCTCCCTATTCACAAAAGGAATCAAATACTTCAAGGGCCTCACCGACAAACCGAATATAAACCTTGTGCCATAATGTACCGTCCTCTCCCTCATTGGTTCACGCGAGGTAAACCCACACAGTGAGCCCTAACTCCTCCAGATAGGTAGAAAATAACACGTCGAGTGCGCCGCCCTTTATTTAATTAAGAGTTACCAAGTGCTTAATTACACTATATGAGGGGGGTTGCACCTATTCCAAAATTTCCTCACTCGAAAGCTACTCCAAGTGTAGACTACCTGGCTTAAAAGTCCATAGACGGCCCTAGTGCACACATGAGCCTTCAACTCACACACAGGAGCACCATTGAAACTTTACTCATTAGTTGGTTTGGCACTTTGGCTATAAATGTGTATTACCCGAGAGTTTCCCTTTCATTTCATTCATTTCACTTCCCTATGAATATTGTAAGAGCTTTGTTAAGTGTTTCAGTAGAGGAGAAATCCAAGTTTGGGTCTTCTGTTCTTTCTAAAGAAAATAATTGTGTGTTATTTTGAGGTGTAGGAGGGAGTCGTGTTTGAGAAAGTCGTACAGTTTGTGATTAAGGTCGGGGGTCATGTTTTGTGGTGGTCGATGTTGTGTTTATTACCTGGAATAAACACAACAGTTGATACTAGATGCAGAGGATTCCTGTAGAGTATTCTCCCTCCCTCCCTCCCCATTCTCCTCCTCCCTCCCCATTCCTTTCCCCCTCTCCATTCTCTTCCTTCCTCCCCATTCTCTTCCTTCCTCCCCATTCTCTTCCTCCCTCCCTCCCTCCCTTCCCCTTTCTCCCTTTTTCCTTATGTCCTTCCTAATTTTTCTCCCTCGTTCCTACCGATTTTCTCCCCCCCCCTCTTTGTTTCCCTTCCTTTCTAGCCTCCCTCCCAGTTCCCCTTCCCTCCCTCTTTCCCCCTTCCGTTTTATTCCCTGTTTCTCTTCGGAAACAGAGGGAAACTAAAGGGGAGAAAGAAAATGAAAGAGAGAGAAAGAAAAGGGGAAGAGAGGGAAAGAAAAGGGGAGGGAGGGTCAGAGAGGGAAACTGAAGAAAATAGGGAAGGAGAGAAAGGTCTTATTTTGTGTTTGTCTGTTTATCACCTTTTGACTTCATGGATCATAATAAGCCCGACCAACTTTTGTATTTTTTCATATTTGTTTTCATTCCTAGCAATCTCCTTCCACCTCCCCTCAACTCCCTTTTCCTTTTCTCACATCTCCCCTTAAACCCCTCACCCCCTCAACTCCCTCCCATGTCTCTCCTCACCTGGCGTTCTTGAAGCACCGCCACTGAGTTCATCTGAGCAACAAGAAGTCAGGGTTCGGGGTTTTTGCCTGTTAATGGTGAGATTTTGTATTTGTATAATATTTTTGGCCCCTTTGACCAGGGGTCACGTTTGCTAGGGGACAGGGGGGTGAAGGAGAACCAGGAAGAGGAGACAAACGCGGCTAACGGGAAGAAGAGGGCGTTGGGGGAGGGAGGGAGGCAGGGAAGAGCTGGAGGAGGAGGAGGTAGTATGTGCTTCACTGTGTAGAACTTCAAAGTCTTCTTGGTGCCTTATGGACAACATGAACAACTTATAGTTTGCTAAACAAATTTCTTGATGTTGTCACTGACACGGTTCACCAACACTACTCACTCATCTGGAGATTTTCGCATGAAGCTGTTCGTGTTGTTGGTGAGCCACTGCAGGGTGTCTCCATGTCTGTTTGTCCCCGTGGATGTCTCAAGACTTACGGAAGACGGAGTATGTCCCGGTGGAGCTTCTCTGTCATGGAGTCGCCACGGTCGCTGGCGACATGGAGGACACGGTTGCCTCTCGTCCAGTACCTGAATAAATGCTAATTAAAGCGAATGTGTTTCCTGTGATGTATTGACATCGGGCTCACAAGCGGAGTCTCCCACCTCACTGCATCTTGACGCCAGTGACCTCGTGACCTCTGCCAAGGCGCTGCAGCAGTGACTCCGTAACCTCTGCCAAGGCGCTGCAGCAGTGACCCCATGACCTGTGGCAGGGTGCTGCAGCAGTGACCCCGTAACCTCTGCCAAGGCGCTTCAACAGGGTGTTGCAGCTGACGCCTTGACCCATTCCACGAAAAATTTCTTCAAGATACCATTTTTTTTATTCCCTCTCCCTCTTCTCTCCCTGTATTCTTCACTCTCTTCTCATCTCAATCTATCATCTGCACACCTTATTCTTCCTTTCCACTTCCCCCTTCTTTCGTCTCCTCCCCCTCCCCCCCCATTTCGCCCTCCCCTCGTTCACCCGTCTCTCTCCCACCTTCCTTCCCCTTGTTTGTTTACCTCCCGAGGGTGGACCAGCGTGTTGTTGGTTCCCTGGAGGCGGGGAGGTGGGTGGGGCAGGCGCGCCGGGATGTACCTGAGCAGCTCCACTCCCAGCCTCACTCCACCACTCCTCTCTTCTCTCGTCGACATCATTGTTCCCTCCATCCACACACTCCTTGCCATTAATCGTCACGTACCACCAGAATGCGACTTCATATTTTTATGCTCTGCCAACGAAAGTAAATCACTATGTTTATGTCTTAATTCTCCCACCATTCCATCTCACTAGTTCTGCGCAATAACCCAGTACCTTTACAAATAAGGAATCACGTGAATATTAGACACCCCAGTTTACTCAACATAAAGATTGGCTACCCTAACGCTACCTGGGGTCGTTAGGTTAGCGTTAGGGTGGTTGATCTTCAGGTGAAATAAGCTAGGGTGTGTAATCTTCAGTAGTCCCAAATATGTAAATTTTCAAAGATTCCAAAAGTCCTGTCATGGTTATTGGTTTTTCGTCACTATAGTTCTCAGTGCATTTGTATATATTTTTTTTTCATGTTGTATTTATGTATTTTGCTTTGCCGACTAAACCTGCGACGCTCAGTAAGGTTAATTAGCTCCAGGTGCACAGTAGGTAGAGCCTCGGTTATCTCTCATGACCTTTCCTGTCTTCTTCATGTCTTCGTTGTTTGATTACCTGGAACTGAGCTGTTATACCTTTGGTCTTTTCCGCCTTTGTTATCTCCCTTTAATTTTCTCTTTCATCCTCTTTCTTGTCCTCTATTTTTTTTTTAATTCCCTCTACCTATCGTTACCTCCATTTTCCTCCCCCTTTTTCATCCCTTCTTGCTTGTATGTTCCCACACATCTCCCTCTCTCCCCACCTTACCCGGCCCGGCCAGTTCAGGTGTCACCATGGCCGATCTGTGTTGCCTCCGTTACCAACAACATCTTGCCTTGAGGTCTTTGCTCATTTTATTTCACCCACTGGTCAAAGTCCTTCACCAACACTCGGGCTTATTTGTCCCACTTTTCCTACCAGAATTTCTCGCCTCTGATGTTCACAACCGATCATCCATGCGTGAGAGTCTGTCGGTAACCGAGAGAGATTTACGCAGATGTGCATACCTGGGTAGATATTATATTGAGCCCAATACTTACCTGCCAGGATTTATGGTATAGTTTTATCTTGAAGTTGAATTTTCATCTTTCTTGAGTGATATGATACCCACCATTGGAGAGAACTATTCTTCTTTTTTATTAGTTTTGGGTCTTTGATTAATATTCCCCATTAAATATTTTTGTTTTGCGGGTAATTATCTCTGCATTGACAGTTATTATAGGTATCGTAACCAAATGTATCCCCCCCCTGTTTGTTTTTTTTAGTTATTGTACATATTGTAATTAAACCCATCCTCCATGTATTAGCAGCTATTGTAGATATTGTAACTCGATGTATCATTCTCACTCCCATGTTGATCGAAGACGGCTCACTCACCTCCCTCTTTCTCTTGGCAGATTCTGCGTCGGGGACCGGTTTTACCTGTGTGACAACAAGATCCTGTGCGAGTACGATTACGAGGAGCGTATGGTGTTCGCCAACATGTCGTATTCCTCAGACTCACTGGCGCACATCAAGCGACAAGTTAGTGACCTCCAGGTAGCGTTCGTTCAACTGCGCACTGCCAACACCACAAGCACACCCTGGCTCCATTCTCACTACCAGGGATCTCTTCTCTGTCTGTCTCTCGTTTCGTACTTTGTCTTCGTGATTTTTATTATTTTTTTTTTGGTCTTTGGCATCTCAAAAAAATTCGTCTTTTTATTTCCACTTTATGGTTCTCTTTTGTTTGTTTATTTGTTTTTTCTCTTCATATGCTGTCTCTCGCATCGTTTATTGAAGACTCTTTATCTAAGTATTCGTCATCTATCATCTCGGTTTGGCTTTTGTTTCTATTTTTTGTTTCCGTTAAAGATAGAGACAATTTTTCGCTTGATTACTTCTTCCTTGTTTCATTCATTCATTATTTTTCCTGATTTTCCTGTTTTTATATTATTAGGTTTTCTTGATTTCTTGTTTCATTCATTCATTGACTTTCCTGATTTTCCTGTCTTTGATATTTTTTTGTATTTTTTCCTGATTTCTATTTCGCTTCTCTCATTATTTCTTTCATCTTGCAAATCACGATTGACCATCACCCCCTCGATTCTTTATCAGATTAAACCTAATTAAGAAGAAAATTGGCATAAATACACCCTATTATAGCCCCTCCCCCCTCCCCCACACAATGGTAATTAATTAACAAAATAATAATTTGTGCGTTTTTGGTCATGTTATAGAGGGAAAAAATATCACGAATTTAGTTTTTTTTTAGTCTTTTAACTTCTATACATGGAACCACCAACACTATATAAAGTTGAAATTATAGATAAACTTGAATTTCATGTCATTATAATCGTACCACAGGACTCATTGTAGCCCCCAGGCAGGTCATATGTGCTTGAATGGGAAAAGACGTGTTGCATTTGTACTTCCATCCTAAAGTACAATAATTTAATAAATTCTCAAATATGATCTTCTTATCTATCTGCTACTGACACATTTTTCATCGTTTTTTTGCTTTTCATTATTATTATTATTACTTTTTATCATTATTTTTACCATTTTTCTTGGTCAATTTGTGCCAATTTTTCACCTTCCTGGTATCCGTTGGGTTTTCATCACGTGCGGGGGTCGATCACGCTGTAGCCGTTTCAGTACTTCCTTTACTGTATATATCCACACAACATTATGTCTCAAGATTCTTCAACAGCTCTCGAACTTTTTGTGTTTCTTCTCTCGGGTTTTTTCTTTATGTTAACTCCTACTTCGTTTCCTTATCCTCTTAAATATATTCTGTTTTATTCTTTTGTACTCCTCTTCCTCTTTTCTTTGGTCGTTTTTTTTCCTTTTCATCTTTCTGTCTGTGTTCTTCCTTCTTCTTCTCTTCCTTCTCTTGTTTCAAGTGACTGTTTGGTCGTTCCTGTAGACCTATGGCCACTTTTAATAAAGCGGCAGTAGACGGATGTCCCACAACACCCTCTCAACTCCGCCACGGACGCCCACCCACCAAAAAAGAAACCATTCCTGTGCCCTTGAATTTCCATCGACTTTTCGTAAGTTTTCACCAAATATAAAATAATAATAATATTAATAATCTACTCGTATACAAAGACGAGTTAATCAAGTCCTGGGGAGGCGCAGGGGATTGTGGGTCATCTGAGACAGGTATCTAACCAAAGGTAAACAGTGTACTGGATGAGAGAAAGCTTGCATAGTTCAGCTGCTTCACTAACACCAATGCTATGCACTTGGGAAAGGCCATCATGACGAGGAACTGTACTCGGGGTTGCTCATAAGAGGTACAGGGTTTTCAGTGGTACAGACTCGGATGTATATAGTAGTGCCGGGTAAATATTGACCTTCATTATGTTGATTCAGGACATATGAAGCTGCTACTTATATGCAATACCCTTAAATATATAAGACTCGATTTTTATAATAATAGACACTAGTCAATATTGATGCCGCGTGATATTTTTTAAAGGATGAATTTTTTAAGTTATAGGGACCGTGTTTAATGGGCACTACTTTATACCTTGTGAGTTATAAAGGGCAACTTCCGTGTTCCCGTTTGTTGTATCAATTTTTTTTAGATGTTTTTCCCCTTTTTTCAGTTCCAGTTTATTTGTTTTTGTTATTCCTGTTATTGTTTTTATACGGTACGTTTTTAACCCGTTTATGCGAGTCAGTTGATCATCTGTACATTATTATTATTATCTTTTTAGTTCTTTTTTTTTTTAATCTATTTATTTCCGTATCAATTATTCGACTCATTCTACCCTCTCCTGTTCTCGTTGGTTGATTTCGTGTGTTCAAATGACTGGCTGCCGTCCGGTCATTAAGCCACTCCCATTTAATGAACACCTGGCCGGTCCTCGTTGATCAAGCTTTTACACAAATCAGTGATCGTTAAGCATAATAATGTGGCCGCTGGTCTGTCAAGCCATCCGACCTTTTTTATTCCCCAGTGGTCTTTTGTTTCTCTGATTACATCGTTAGAAATTATTACAGATATTAGTTTTTGTTTTACGTTGCCGTTCATTGAATGGTTTTGTGAATATTGACTTGGAATCTGTAAATGAATGTTAAGTACCGATTTTCGTTCATCAGTGCTAATTCATTATTAATGGTTCACATCTATTCGTTAACTAAAATCCCCTTCGTTAACTATACATCTATTGTTAATCCGTAATCAACCCTTCGTTAACCAACCTTATTATTTTATTATTGTCTAACAACTTATATTCCTTATACCCCCATTAAGCAGTCTTTATTTTAACCAAGTTTCTCGTTAATGCTTTTCGTTAACCAGTCCCATCTTTCGTTAACACCTTTCATTAACCATTCCCCTTTCTTTAAAACGTTTCGTTGAGTAACACCCTTTCATTAAACCCTTCCTTTAAACTAGCCCCACCTTTCGTTAACCAGTCCCCCTTTCGTTCCAGAACGGGACCACGAAAGTACCCTTGAAGGACATGCCTGAAATGCTTACGTCGTGATGGTGTAAGGTCAGTCAGGCTGCCGCTAACTGTTAACACCTCCCCCCTTCCTCCTGGCTGCCGCTAACTGTTAACACCTCCCCCCTTCCTCCTGGCTGCCGCTAACTGTTAACGCCTCCCCCCTTCCTCCTGGCTGCCGCTAACTGTTAACGCCTCCCCCCTTCCTCCTGGCTGCCGCTAACTGTTAACGCCTCCCCCCTTCCTCCTGGCTGCTAACTGTTAACGCCTCCCCTTCCTCCTGGCTGCCGCTAACTGTTAACACCTTCCTCCTGGCTGCCGCTAACTGTTAACGCCTCCCCTTCCTCCTGGCTGCCGCTAACTGTTAACACCTCCCACCTTCCTCCTGGCTGCCGCTAACTGTTAACACCTCCCACCTTCCTCATGGCTGCTGCTAACTGTTAACACCTCCCACCTTCCTCCTGGCTGCCGCTAACTGTTAACACCTCCCACCTTCCCCTGGCTGCCGCTAACTGTTAACACCTCCCACCTTCCCCTGGCTGCCGCTATCTGTTAACACTCTCCCCTGGCTGTTGCTTACTGTTAACACATCCCACCTACTCCCTGGCTGTTGTTGCTAACTGTTAACACTCCCACCTCAGGCTATTGCTAACTGTTAACACCTCCCACCTTCCCTGACTGCCGCTAACTGTTAAACTCCCACCTTCCCCCTGGCTGTTGCTAACTGTTAACACCTCCCACCTTCCCCCTGGCTGCCGTTAACTGTTAACACCTCCACCTTCCCCAGGCTATTGCTGTTAACACCTCCCACCTTCCCCTGGCTGTTGCTAACTGTTAACACCTCCCACCTTCCCCCTGGCTGCCGCTAACTGTTAACACCTCCCACCTTCCCCAGGCTATTGCTGTTAACACTTCCCACCTTCCCCTGGCTGCCGTTAACTGTTAACACCTCCCACCTTCCCCAGGCTGCTGTCAACACCTCCCACCTTCCCCTGGCTGCCGCTAACTGTTAACACCTCCCACCTTCCCCTGGCTGTTGCTAACTGTTAACACCTCCCACCTTCCCTGGCTGCCGCTAACTGTTAACACCTCCTACCTTCCCTTGGCTGCCATAACTGTTAACACTACCCACCTACTCCCTGGCTGCTGTTGCTAACTGTTAACACCACCCACCTACTCCCTGGTTGCTGCGTTAGTAATTATTAACACCACCCACCTACTCCCTGGCTGCTGTTGCTAACTGTTAACCCTACCCACCTACTCCCTGGCTGCTGTTGCTAACTGTTAACACTACCACCTACTCCCTGGCTGCTGTTGCTAACTGTTAACCCTACCCACCTACTCCCTGGCTGCTGTTGCTAACTGTTACACTACCCACCTACTCCCTGGCTGCTGTTGCTAACTGTTAACACTACTCCACCTACTCCCTGGCTGTTGTTGTTAACTGTTAACACCAACCGCCTTCTCCTGGCTCCTGTTGCTAACTGTTAACACAACCCACCTACTCCCTTGGCTGCTGTTGCTAACTGTTAACACCACCCACCTACTCCTGGCTGCTGTTGCTAACTGTTAACACCACCCACCTACTCCTGGCTGCTGTTGCTAACTGTTAACACCACCCACCTACTCCTGGCTGCTGTTGCTAACTGTTAACACAACCCACCTACTCCCTGGCTGCTGTTGCTAACTGTTAACACAACCCACCTACTCCCTGGCTGTTGTTGCTAACTGTTAACACCACCCACCTTACTCCCTGGCTGTTGTTGCTAACTGTTAACACCACCCTCCTTCTCCTCTGGCTGCTGCTAACTGACACCACCCGCCTACTCCCCTGCTGCTGTTGCTAACTGTTAACACTCACCCACCTACTCCCTGCTGTTGCTAACTGTTAAACTACTCCACTCCCTGGCTGCTGTTGCTACTGTTAACACTACCCACCTACTCCCTGGCTGCTGTTGCTAACTGTTAACACCACCCGCCTTCTCCCTTGGCTCCTGTTGCTAACTGTTACCACAACCCACTCTCTCCCTGGCTGCTGTTAACTGTTAACACTAATTCGCCTTCTCCCTGGCTCCTGTTGCTAACTGTTAACACAACCCACCTACTCCCTGGCTGTTGCTAACTGTTAACACCACCGCCTTCTCCCTTGGCTCCTGTTGCTAACTGTTAACACAACCCACCTACTCCTGGCTGCTGTTGCTAACTGTTAACACCACCCACCTACTCCCCTGTTGTTGCTAACTGTTAACACCTCCCACCTACTCCCTGGCTGCTGTTGTAACTGTTAACACAACCCACCTTACCCCTGGCTTGTTACTCAACTGTTAACACCACCCACCTACTCCCTGGCTGCTGTTGCTAACTGTTAACACAACCCACCTACTCCCTGGCTGCTGTTGCTAACTGTTAACACCACCCACCTACTCCCTGGCTACACCTTCACCCTAGCTGTTGGTAACTATTAACAACACTTAGACTGGCGCTAACTGATACTCCAGCAGCGACAGGTGTGAGAGCAACTACAGGTGTGACAGTAGTTACAGGTGTGACAGCAACTACAGGTATGACAGCAGTTACAGGTGTGACGTCTCTGCAGGTGTGACAATGGCGTTATGGGTGACAGGTGTGACAGCGGTGACTGGTATCAAAACAACGACTGAGGTGACACTCACGACAAGTGACAGCAGCAATAGGAGTGACAGGTGTGACAGCAGCGTTAAAGGTGACATGTGTAATAGCAGCGACAGGTGTGTGACAGCAACAACATGTGTGATAGAAGAATCAGACAGCTGTACAGTAGGGTGAGTGTTAGGTGAATCAGACTACACCTGACTACTGAGGCACCTGATCACCCTTGACGCACGCCAGTCTGTCCAGCGTGTATGTGTTAGGGTCCAGTGTAGAGGAAGGGGTGAAGGGGAGGGTTGAAGGGAAGGAAAGGGATGAGGGGTAGAGCCATCCTGTGTGGCTCTGCAAACTCCTCTCCCAGCTGTCTGTCTGTCTGTCTGTCTGTCCTCACGTGTCTTATTCCTCTGCTGTCAAGACTTTATCAACCTTCCTATACTACAGTGTTGGTACCCACGCCAGCCACAACACAACGAGGCTCCGCAGTCCTTATACATACACACAGCCTACCACAACCAGCATGCACGCTCACATGCGCATGAACAGTACGCACCATGCATGAAACTCCACCGCACCTGCATGTGCTGTTATTAGGTATCACCTTGCACGCACATATAGCTACACCGCACACGCAGTATAGGATGACTCTCCCTGCACGCATTCTGTGTTGCTGTTCCACCACTTGCTACGGAGTCTTTTATTGAATTGCCCTTCATTAATTTAATTGGACAGACTCCTATACCTACTGCTTTCCAATTAGCGATTAGCGCTTTGCACCTTGTTCCACTAATGTTCATCTTTTATTTGACAAATATAGGGTTCTTAAAAGCTGGTCCGTGTTAGGTGATGGTCATACCTCCCTCCTCCTCCTCCTCCTCCTCCCTCCTCCTCCCTATCCTCCCTCTCTTCCCTCCCTAACCTGTTTACCTGAAATGCCATACTTGTTTTTTCCTCAGGTTTTAAAGTCTATTATTTATACTTTCTTCTTAAACGGCTTTTGTACAGCTCTCTCTCTCTCTCTCTCTCGCCATTTTACGTCATCAAAACAGAAATTGCAGAAGCCGCCTTTGGGAGGAACCAGAAGGGGCCGGCAGTATTGTAACTCACAGGGAATCCATCCATAACATTATGTTGATCACCTCCAACGATGACGGGAATTTACACATAAGTGATGAGCACAGTTGGTCGAGGATTTATGCCAGAGTGACGAGGGTGTTGGCAAGACGGATTAGCATATAACATTAGAGAGAGAGAGCGAGAGAGAGAGAGAGAGAGAGAGAGAGAGAGAGATTTTGATGAAGGTAGATAGATAGATAAATAAATAGAGATAGATAGATATTCAGTAAAGTCGATATTAAATAAAGTACATAGAAAGTGCAGTGCATTAACATTAAAGTATAAAAAAAGAGACGTTAACCTAGATCAACTGTGTGAGTGATTTACGTCTAGTGCAGCCAAATGAGACAAATTTACACACACGCAATAGTAATATTCTTTCCACGTCTCAATAATTTTTGCCTAACCTGCCCATCTTCACTATACTCGTCAGCTTTCTCTTGTAGGACACGCGGCGTCTCTTGTTCCCTCTCGTAAGGTATATTCACTCTCGTCTTTTATTTCTGCCTCTCGTGCGTAACATGTCGGGTGTCCATAAAAAAAAAAGAGTAAAGTGTTTGAGGTAAGAGTTGGTTAGTTCCATTGCATGTAACTAACAGCCCAAAACAAGCTCGGAATGCAAATGGTTGTTTAGCGTGCTGGTTATTTATATTTCTTTACTGTTTACGACTTCAAACGTTTCCAGCTGGGTGGACTGGGCCAAGAGTTGTTGGCCAGCGTATTCATATGAATGTATTCTTCACATGAATACGGAATAATGGAACGTTTTTCATCCGCTTTGGAATCTAGTCTGGGTGGCTTAATGGACGCATTCACGTCGTCATGCTGTATAAGCCCCGGTGTGGCCGTCACTTACGCACGCTACCCGGAGATCAGGGACTTCACTTTTATTTTGGGACCTAATGGGTCCTTTTTGCTTGTGGGCCACCCCCTCCCTCCCTCCCTCCCACCCACTCCTGTAGCTCAGAGCAACCAGTCCAGTGAACCTCCATATAATGCACTTCTCTCTCCATATAATCCGCTAGATGGGGGTTACACAATTAACGGACCCTCGATGTAACGGACTTTCCTCTCCCTATAGTCCATTATAAAGAGGTTTCACTGTATGCCTGCCCCCCCTTACTCTACGTTTTACTCACATTTCCTGTCTTGTGCCTCCCGGCTCCCCAGAGGAGTCATCACCACCACCTTTGCTGCACCTCTGCACACCAACTACTTAACGCTGATCATAACTCAACAACATCTTGAAAGTAATATCTCTTAACTTGCTAAAAATTGCTTCAGAAAAAAATATATCTTTCGCATGAGTAATTCCTATCTATCTTACTCACAGTTGGTCGCTGGCCTAACACGGCGCGCTAACCCTACACTTGCCAGTCCATTGACACTCCCTGGATAAATGGGGAATAGGTTAGGTTAGGTTAGGAAGTGTGTGAAGCATTCGAGTAACATGCGGTTCTTTTGATGTAGTTGAATTATGTTTAGTGTTATTTGAGTTTTGGTTATACATAAATATATTTATTGTTATTTTACTATTTTGATTTTCAGTATTTTGTTAAGTATAACTACATCTGTTTAATAAAAGTTATGACCAAAAAAAAAAAGGCTTCATAGAATTAGACTTCGACTTACAATCATGAAAGTTAATTTCCTGGATTTTTTTATTAAGTTTATTAAAATTTAATAAATTTTACATGAGGTGATACGGAATACGGACGGCAGAATAAGGAAACCTATCATCTCTAACTACCCATACCCAGTCTAACTAAACTAACCTAACGTAACCCACCATAAACTAACCCATCCTAAACTAACCCAGTCTAAACAAACCCAACTACAAAAATAACCCAAGATTCATTAAGTAAAGTTAGGTTAAATCTTGGTTGGGTGCGTTAGTGTTGTCGACCACCGAGTATAAACAGTCACAAGAAATAAAAAAAAAAATAAAAATCTGGAAATTTAAATCCAACTTAATTGGTTAGATTATATTTATTAATGATGAGTCGTTTACGTTGTGTCCGGAGGTGCGAGAATCTGCCGCAAATATAAAGTTAAAACTGGGATAAGTTCCAAAGCCACGTGTCTTTAACTCTCATCCTTCGCTTGTTACCTGTACACTCTAAACCCAACACGAATGGGCAATTATTTCCCCCTTCATTTCTTTTATTCCTCTCACTACAATATCCTTCACGCTATACTGTACATGTAACATACAACCTGCATCCATTTAACTGTAGAAAATAGATATATTTATTACCTAACATATCAATATTTTTTTCTCATATGTGTAAGGGGTTGTGTTTGTGTATACAGTTTTATGTCGACTTGTACTGTGTCGCTACTGTTACCTTCACCATCTTGTTGCCATGATGATAATATACCTCCTTAACCTTGTGTTTCTTGTCTTTGCCAGCAGCCCCCGGAGGAATCTGGCTTGGCTCAACGTGGCAACTCCTCTACCCACGGCACGACCCTCCCCCAGCAGCCCAACCAGCAGCACCAGCTGGGGATGAACGGCATGAGTCTCGGTGGTGGTGCGGGCAACGGTCCGGGCACCTCGGGGATGCTTCTGCCCACGCCCCTGGGGGACCGCAGCGGACTGGGGGATCATCACCTCGGGGGCGCCGACGGGGTGCTAAAGGCCCCCGCTGCTCCTCCACAGCCCAACAGCTCCAATCAGGCGGTGGCTGACGACGCCTCTAGTGGCTACGGTAGTCCCGACTCTCTCACCATGGAGGACCGATGAGACGCGGCCGGGAGGGGGCGGAAACGGCGGCGGACATGACCATCACAGCCTCCATCGCAGCTACCGCACATACCGTCGCAGCTACCGCAGGTACCGCCGCAGCTACCGCAGGTACCGTCGCAGTCTCATCAACAAATGCCACACACGTCGTCAACGCAGGCACCGCAGTTTCCTTTCCAAATGCCACAAATGCCGCCGCCGCACATGTCTCCTATGACATCGACAATGCCGCAGTTATCATCAATGCAGCAACACCGGCGGCCGCTGCCATCACTGCCGCACCCGCTGCACCCTCAAGCATCAGAAATGTTCCGGGGAGCGACAGGACAATCACAGCCACAGTGGCGGCCTCCATTTTGATCAGCAGTGACGGCGGCCCAAGCAAGCCACCAGTGTGGGTCGACACAGCGGCCCCTACACCACCACACCTGATGGAGGTATCAACCTGGCGTCAGGGACACCTGCCATCACCCGCCCGCCATCTTGGTGAAGCGTAGCCCTGGCGCTTCTCAGCACCACAGTTGCTGGGATGGAATACTTTACTGGTGCTTGTGTGACGGCTCAATCGATGGTGTTGGCTGAACGCTAATGGTGTCGTTTAGTCATGACACGGTCGGGCCTGACGGCGACGGTAGCGATGAACTCCTGCGATGAGTGGCGTCTTCTCCCGCGAGTAGCCCCCTCCCCAGGTCACTCACCTGCCCCGATAACAACTGATCCCCAACAACCAATCAGCAAGTTTTATCAACAATCAACATTTTACAAACCGTAGAGAATCGAGACTCGCCCGCCTATGAAAAGAAGGCGTTGCTACGACGGTGAATTCTCGCTAACAGAAGCAAGAACTGATTAATGATTTTTTTAAGGCTCTGTTATGTGATATGTAAAGCATTATTGTAATGAGTGGTGAAAGCCTCAAAGAAACATGAATAATATTATTTGTAAATATAATTTTAAGGTTATTGTGTGAGGTTACGGACTCTCCCCTTTTTCTGTGAGTGTTCGGAACAGAAGGGGACATCCTGAGTTGCATGTACAGTGACGAAAAACTCTTCCTATCTTGGTGTGCCATAAAGACCTACTTTTTAGCAGTTAAACTTAGTTTTTCGTCCCTACGAGCCTACGGGGTTGATCACTCTACAGCCTCGAGAACTGGACAAGCTGCGCTAGTCAAGTGAGGGAGCAGAACAAAACAAATAGAAATAACAAGTCACACCAAAAGTGCTCGCAAGGAATTTTTGTGTGTGTCGCGGAAGAGCTTGAGAAGGTTAGCACTGGCCACCTCCTGTGTGTGGCGGATCCAGTGTATTAAATCTCGTCACTCGAACAGAAACATGCTTGGAAACCGCTTGTTTGTGTTCCCCCATACGTAACAGAGTAGTTCCGTAACAAACATACAAGACTATACATGAGCAAGTAGCACCGGACAGGTTGAATGTATATAATGTGCACAATTGCTTTCACCAACCTGATCTGGCTTCCCATTTTCTATACACACCTAGTCGCAGCTCACACTAATTTACACTGTATATCAACGTAGCTTTGCAGGATAGAGTCTCACTCGCTCCCCGCCCAGTGGACTGCAACACGTCAAAGTCGGAGGGTCTATATCAGTGGGCGGAGTGTCCGTGATAGCTCAGTCTTGAATTATTTACGACTGGAAGATTGCCAGTAAAGTGTCAACAGAACACCGCCTCTGCTTCTGTTTTGCTGGAGTTCTTAATTAGAGTTGTCGACGTAATCATTTCCTAACAGTTGGAGACGCTTGAAGGCTGCTGGGCGCGGGGCGAGTGGGGGGAGCCTCGCGGAAATTACGTTGACGTACAGTAAATGTGATACTTGTGACGGGCACATACAAATATGTGAGAGTGAGTGAGTGACATGAAAACATTATTCCATAAAGAATATAAATAATGTCTTTTAAAAGTTACTGGAAGATGGATTGTATTATTTCTTTTGACTTATCAGATGTTATGGAATAATGGCGATTGGTGGTGTGTGGACGGTATCGTTATGGCTGTTTTCTCATATTCTTGTTGTTCATTTACTGTATGTACAAAGTTTAAATGTTATCATCAAGGACATTAAATGATTATAATGATTATCATAACTGTTTCCATAATTATGTTTCATTCTATTTAGTTCTAGTATTACCAACAGTCTCGTAATATCCTTCGGAAGATTTTTTGGTTCTGTCACGGTTCACTGGTGTACTTCTCTTGATGTTACCTGCGGCTAGTTTGGGTGTCCGACGTGCAGGTGGTGTGTGAAACAGCGGCCGAGGCCCCGGGCTGGTGCACCTACACAAACAAATTTTTCGACTTCTATTATTAGTCCAAATATTAGTCTGATTTGTCCTCCGTTATAGAATAATTATTAAAACAATAATGTTGGTGAGTTTCCGGCAGCAGAATCTCAAAGCGGTGCATCCTGACAAGTGAGCAGCGACCAGCATTACCTTACACACTACTACAATAGCTTGGCACGATCCCGATGTGTTTCCAATGCTGTTTCAAACGCGTCTGCCCCTCCTCCCCCACCCAGAATACGCCTGTCACACGACGGGGTCTGCGTTAGCTCAATCACTCGAATGATATGTTTACTTAGTGTACAGACTACTCAATCCCATTTAGAAACTGTATTCAATTCATCGGAAAGGGTTCAAGGGCTTTACTTTGAATATTTCTCTTAACAAAGGTCAGATCCTCTTTAATTTAGAGAAGGCATCATGGTCCGCTGATAGTTTAGATGGCACCAGCTAGATGGTTCTACATCTTTTGGAAGCTGTTTTACTCTCCCGTGTGTGTGGATCAAAAGACCACATCAGGGGTTTAGGAATGGCCTGGAAAATTGTATTTAGATGCACCAGCATGTTCAATTCAGTACCAAGCATTGTTAGTCATACTTTTTCTTCTTTTTTTCTCTTTCTTTCCTTCGGTCGGTGCCCAACCCCAGACGAAAGCAATGAGTAATGACTACATTTGTTCACCCCCGTGCACTGAGAGAAACTCAACCATGGTACAACTCTTAATGGATATTCGCGACAACAGTTATAAATATCATGCGAGATTATCTGAACTTGTCATCATCCTCAAGTATACGCTAATTATTATTTCACACAGTTGCCCGCGCGACATGGGCAGCAGGTCTGTGAGGCGGACCCTTCAGTTCCCCCGAGGAGCTGGTCACAGTCTTCTCCTCGGCCTTGCTGGGGGAGGGAGAGAGAGAGAGACCAGAGACCTTCGCCGTACATGTCGCGAGCGGGATCTTCTGTTCATATTTATTGAGAATGTATGTAGTGACGTTCAGTGCTAAGATACAAGTCGGCTGAACCATAAAGTATAAAAATAAATACAGTTTGACACAATGTACAATGATTCAAGTTGAGGCAACGACCAAACTTATTGTGATTGGTGTATAGAATCACTTGTTTGGACTGTGACGCGGCAATGGCTGGCTTATATCTTGGTACGGGCGGTTCCCCCCCCCCCCCCCCCCCCAATATCTTTGTTAAACTATACATGTGCTCAACAATCCTAACACTCGTTTCTCAGCATTTGACCTGTTTTATACACAGTGAATAGTATTTTGATAGACTGATGAAGAGAATGAATTGCCCATCATCGCTGGCGAACGTCAAAATTTTACAACAATTACAGATTTCTACTCATTTTATATTCATGCACCGAAAATTTAAGATTGGGATTGACAGATTAATTTGAGTTGCGATAAATTGTGATCAGAGGTTAAAAATAACTTAAATTATCAGTTTAACTACAGTAAACAAATAGTGAACACTGCTACCATGTTAACGGTTATTAATTAATAATAACTTGTTATCAATATAGTTCATGGGCATTTATTGAAACTACACAAATACTTTATTCTCCTTCCCTGTTCACAAAAGCTCAGTTTATAGATATGGAAAAAAAGGTTTAATTATTGTCACCCATCGTTAATGAAATATGAATTATCATTATTTTTATTATTAATGTTCATTTCCGGAGTGTGATGATCCTGATAGTTTCATAATCATGATGAATATGTCTTATTTTTTATTATTATTATTTTTATTAGATTTGATGGTCTTCATATGGTTTTATAAACATTCCTGTGACCCCCATCCTCACCTCTCTGTATTCGGGTTCCTCAAAATACGACAAAAATCACTAAAACTCAATTAAAAAAAAAAGCCACACCAGCTGCGGCCCCCCGGTTGATAGGTCTTGTTGATGTAGCGGCTCACAGCGGCTTGTGGGCATCACCGCCTCACCCAAGACCATTTGTAAACAAACTCATCAAATTGTGTAAAACATACCAGTGTGTTAAGAATAAAGCAAACACTATCTGGCATTTCAATTGTACTTAACGATCTGCTTCGCCAGGCGCTGCAGGTTAGAATGACCTGCTTCACCAGATACTGCAGATTGGAATGACCTGCTTTGCCAGGCGCTGCAGGTTGTAATGATCTGCTTCGCCTGGCTCTGCAGGTTGGAATGACCTGCTTTACCAGGTACTGCAGGTTGTAATGATCTGCTTTACCAGGCGCTGCAGGTTAAAATGACTTGCTTTGCCAGGCGCTGCAGATTGTAATGATCTGCTTTGAATGGTGTTGGAGATTGGAATAACCTGCTTCGCCTGGCGCTGCAGGTTGGAATGACCTGTTTCGTCAGGTCCTGCAGACTGTAACTATCTGCTCTGCCTGTGGCTACAAATTGTAACAGTCCCGTCCTGTACGTGCTTCAAGTCTTTGCGAATGACAAGTGAAGGCCACAGTCTGTAAGACCGTGGAAACAGACCGTAGCCTGTACTGTCACGTAGGACTACTCGTGCAGACCGGAGGTTGTGTGGTGATAATAGTCATTTGTGCAGGCCAGAGACTGTATTGGGAATACTACTGTCGCTGATACAGGTCGCAGACTGACTGTACCAGGACGAACAGTCATGGTGTAGCTCGCAGACTGTAATAGGAGAACCATTATAATTCGTACAGGCCGCAGACTTCAGGGATGGCCACATCCACTGGTGCAGGCCGCACCTGCAGACTACACCGGGATGACCACTCACTGTGTGGTGTAGGCTGCTGCTACTGTACCAAGATGCCAGTCGCTGGTTCAGGTACCAGACTACCAGAATGACTAGGGTGCAGGCCGTATAGACTGTACCGGGATGGCCAGTCATTGATCCAAACCACAGACTGTACCGAGATGGTCAAAGTCACTGGTCCAGGTCACATATTGTACTGGGGTGGCCACAGACTGTACCGGGATGACCAGTCACTGGTCTAGGCCGCAGACTAGTCCCTTCTCGACCCTCCCCCCCCCCCACTCTTGTTACCAAAGTTATTGTCTAGAATTGCACTTTTCTTAAAGTGAATATATTTTGTACAAAGGATATGTCATTGTGTTTCATTTTCCTTCAGTACAGGTGATACATTTAGCCTTAATTTATAAATGAACAGTTTAATAAAATCTGTATGACAAAATTCAATTGAATGTTTGACTTACTGAATAATAATTGTTTACAGTTACTGAAGAAAACAATGTTGTTTACAAGATACAGAATAATTATTGTATTTACAATCAATGAAAAATAAAGACAAGTTACTGTATAGTTAGGCTGTATTTGTGGATACTGGAAAATAAGACTGTACTTAGAGCTGCTGAACAATAAAACTGTTTACAGCTACTGAATAATAAGATTATTACAATCACTGAATTATAACTTAAATAGTTCTTTTGAATAATAAAACTATTTTTGGATAATAAAAATTATTGACTGACTAAGACTGTATTTATGAATACTGTACTAAATACAGGTATTTTGTTAGTGAATACAAAATCTTGACAAATACGGAGAGAAAATAATATAATTACAGTTCCTGTATAATATTACTTCATAATAAATCTGTTTACAATTACTAAATAAAAAGCTACTTACAGTTTATGATATAATTATAATGAACAAAAAGACTGAATTTATAGTGACCGAAAAACAATTTACGGATACTGTTGCAAAAGACTGCATTTATGGATGTCCAATTAAACAAACAAATTTCCAGCTAAGATGACGGTGGGTCTCACTGAAACTAGGGCCAGTCATGACTGAAACCAAGTCCAATCATGACTGAAACCAGGGCCAGTCATGACTGAAACCAAGTCCAATCATGAATGACACCAATACCTATTTTGACAAGCCAAGTACAATCATGACTGAAACCAGGTCCAATCAGGACTGAAACCAAGTCCAATCAGGACTGAAACCAGGTCCAATCAGGACTGAAACCAGGTCCAATCATGACAGAAACCCAGTTCAATCATAAATGAAACCAAGTCCAATCAGGACTTAAACCAGGTCCAATCGTGAATGAAACCAGACCCAATCATGATTGAAACATGGCTGTGGAGAGCTTTTACTGGAACAAGACCCAAATGTGAATAGAACACGACCAAATCACGATTGGTTATGAACTGTAGCTGATATAAAGACCCAGCCCTTACTGTTCGGATGATCACCTGACTATAACACAAACTACAGGCCATTATTTATAAGGCGTGAATTTGTTTGTGACTTCGACTGTTAATATTCTTGATTTCTTTATTTTTTATTCATATCTTGAAACTTGATCTTTTAAGCAGTTATACCTTTACATACTTTAAATTCGGCGTTAAAATGAGCCGAAACTGGGTATCCTTAACAATTAAATATGAATTTATTTGTGACATAAATATTAATCGAACATATTGCATGAGCCAATGAGCTCAGCTGCAACTAGGGCTTGTATCATTAACGGCGGAGCTTTTGACTGGATTAGTTAAGATGGGTGGAGGTGACTTACGGTAGGTGGATTTTGATTGGAATTAATCTCACTCACGACTTTAGGCCTATAAGGAGCTTTGATTGTGATAACTTTTCATGTGAGTTTTGAGACATTCCTATAAATGTTCCATAGGTGAGCATTAAGTGTTATAGGCCTATAATGATGTTCGATGAACTTTGAGATCAAACTTACAAGTGTGTTCTGATATAGTTCTTCAGGTGAACTTGACTGATACGGGCACAACTATCACACTTGACTGGACGTAACATAGTGGACCCATACAACCACCAGAGAGAACAACTACTACTGTAAGGCTGACAGGGAACAAGTTACACGTTATATGGTTCACTGACAGAGGTGGCGGAGTAATTATAAATTATCTAGTGATGCCCCTTGAGGGTAGTATTATTCCTAAAAATGAATGTAAAGTATCAAGTAACTTTCCTGAAGGTGTAAATTATCAAGTATTATTCCGGAGAAAGTGAAGATTATCTCGTAATATTGCGCCCGCCTTCCCTGACCAATTTCATCATACGATTCATTATTTAACAGACTTAAGAATATCTCTTGTTGACAAAAGGAATGGCAACAAAACAGAACTGTTGCTAATTATGAACATCACTGCTTCATGCAGATTACGGATTTTTTTTTTGTATAATTCCACGTAATAATATTAAATTGTAAATGAAACCTCATAACGACTTGCCCTGCGGAGCCTTAAAGCGCCATCGGATATTCTGATGATGGGCTTCTGTGAGAATCCAATGTGGGATATGCGTGTTGTCAGGGGTAGATCATGAATTCCTCAATAATTCGTATAATTCATGAGTTACGTGTATAAAAAGTATAAATAATTGTGTTGGTTTATTACCAATATAAATCATAAGTCTGATGAGCGTAGGTCGCCATCAGATGTTTCACCAGTGTCACGTATATTTGGCTCCTCGCCTCTTACGTCTCGTTGCTCTCCTAACCCCCGGCTGTAAACTACTGTTGACATGATTATGACGGCCAGGAACAGTCGTTCGCCAGTTCACCAACACTGTTTTTCAGAGTGGCTTTCGGAGTGATGGACATAAAATACACCAGAGCAAATGAACGCTCTGTAACCTCAGTATCTGTCGTGAGTACTACAGTAAGTGTTCATAAAGTACAGCATTGAAGGTGACGTTTAGTTGTGTGAAGTTGAGTTAGTTCCTGCCACGTAACTTAACAACAACCGAGTCAATGGAGTCGTGTAGAAAAAATTCGTTGCTGTTGTCCAGAAAGTTAAAACTAACATGTCCAAGAGACGACAATGGTTATAATTTAGTGTTTCAAGCGACGTGTCATGTGTTGTACCTAGATTCATAAGCAAGCCTAGACTGGTTTCGATTAAGATTCAGAAAAGTTCGACATGTTCTAAGCCGAATACAACGATGCCACGACTATACTCCACCACTTCCTCCTACAAGTAGCACCACTTTAGCCACTAGCATCTGTTAATTAAGGTAAGTTTTTTTACACAACGGGGCCCCTCCTGGCTAGAAGGTTAGGTTAGGTCAAGTGCTTCTGGTTTTTCTGGTTAGGAGGTTTCGTTAGGTTTCGTTTCGTCGGTTTGTTTGCACGTTTTTACTCCACAATATCTCTCTACTTCAAATTCCCGCCCACTTTGTCTAACCAATGTTGTTGGTAATTTGGGTGTCAAATCTCCATAACGGCTCATTTGGGACGGAAATGAAGGTCAGATTCCCTTGAAACATCACCAAATACACCAGGCAATTTTTCACTTTTAGTAGTTTCCGAATCTTTACCCTGGTTTATTTTATCGTACATCTAATCAAGTGTCCATTGTATTTTTACTATTATTTGTAAGAAGTAATCTCTGAGTTGTCCTAGTAGACCTTAAAGGGCCTGGTAAATTTTACTTTTGCACCGTTCCTTCTCTGGCTGTTATTAATATGTATTTCGTAATGTTTAGACAATTCAAAGACTCCTTTCTTCTATAATATTTCAGCCGGAAATTAAGGATAACTGAGATATTATTTTTCAATATTATTAATTCGCTCAGTCACAAGTGTTGCCATGTCTTCTTCTCTGTGAGGAGATGTTATCTGCGCATCACGCATGCGCAATATTGACTGACGTCATCCAGTCGTGACCAATGATGTATCGATATCATCACGCGATTTTTTTTTCGACCAATCACATTTAATTTTTTCCAAAGGAAGCAGCCTGGGTAATTTCATTGACAGGTATCACAATGGCTGTGGTTGAGATTGGTTGTCATTTGTGCTCCTACTAGAAAGACAATCATTCTATCCAATTCTTACGTATCCCTGGTCCTTACACTTCTAACTAGGGGTTAGGTTTGGTTAGGTTAGATGATTCGTTTTCGTCTTCTCCCCCCTCGAA